TTTTTAAGCTTTTTTAACCAATAAATAAAATTTTATTGATATTTATAGAAAAAAAACTAAAAAAAATGGATACATTGAAATATCGGTAAACCGCTCAAAATAAGTCAAAATATTTGGTAAATTTTATAGAAAATTCTAATATAAACATTCAATCAATATTGCATGTTCCTACGGTCATTTGTTTCAGAGTTACACCAAAAACCAAAATCGATTTTCTCGAAAACAGATTTTGCGTAAAAATTCCCGTCTTTCCTTAATTTTTCTTTTGTTTTTCACGTCGCTTTTGAAAACTACTTAAAAATTTTTACTTTTGACCCACCAAAGTACCAACTAGATTCACTTTCCTATCAGAAAAGATGCTGTTGAAGAAAATCCAAACACTTTTACTGCCCTAAAAGGTGACGACCGACACAAATGAAAATTTAAAAAAAAAAACACACATCATTGTAAAATCAAGACATTCATCGTTGCACTCAGAATCTAAAATAGTAAGTTAACAGTAAAATTAATGAAAAGCCAAAAGTAACTAGTTAAGTTAAAAAGTTAAAATAAAATTAACTTTTTACTTAACTTTAATTTAACAGCCTTGGAAACACTGAAATACTTAGTTTCGTACTTTCAAAAATTGTAAATTGTTCTTTTTTTCCGGGATCCAGTCCAGTCATAGGGCTCCAAAATACGCGTTGCCTTGCATTAAATACTAAAGTTTTGAGACTTTGCGAAAAGTTTCATCTTGGGGCCCCGATTGGCTTAAAAAATGCGCCATCCCTCTGAGGTCCTGCAACCGTCCGCCATCTTGGTGTTTTTGTGAAATGTTTCACTTTTTTTACAATATCTCTAAAATTCATAACTTAACGATAAAAATAGATTGTATAAAAATTGAAGATCGTAAAATTTGTGACAAGAAAGGTTCTATACATTTTTAGCGTCAGAATAATAGATAAGCGACAAAGTCCATCCGCCGTCATAGTATGTGGCGCCGCGCGTATAATTGTATAATGTACATATACGAAATGTTTCGCTTTTAAACGGTTTTCTTACAATATCTCTAAAACTAATAACCGCAATAAAAATATTTTGTATGGGAATTAAAGATAGTAAAATTTGTGACAACGAACGTTCTTGCCGTTTTTAGCGTAAGAATAATAGATAAGCGACAAAATCCAGCCGCACGCTATATCACTATACGCTATAATATACGTCATTATAGCGCGCGGCGCCACATTCTATGACGGGCGGATGGATTTTGTCGCTTATCTATTACTCTTACGCTAAAAACGTCAAGAACGTTCGTTATCACGAATTTTACTATCTTTAATTCCCATGTAAAATATTTTTATTGCGGTTATTAGTTTTAGAGATATTGAAATATGATAAAATAAAATAAAATATACAATATACATAATATATTATAATGATAAATTGATAATGATTTCTTAATTAAATTGAGTATTAACTTACTATCGTCATACAAAATATTATATAAAAAAAAAAATGAAATAATTATTTTTATAGTTTGATTATTACATGCAACTAAAAGTCAGGCAGTGTTCATACGACTTCAAAGTCCAAAAAAATAGTTATTGGTACCTACGAGATTATTCATTAATTTTGTCAGGTAAATAATTTATGGTTACAATTTATATTTATACTAATTGGAAGTTTGATTGTGCATCACATGGTATTTTTCCTTTTACCTAATTATATGTACCAGACTTTTTATATCTCGGACTTTTTAACCACGGACTCTTTTACTCGGACTTTTTTTCCTAGGACTTTTTTACTTCGGACTTTTTGGTAGTATACCGATAAATAGGTACATAATATTATATTATAATATGAGTATATGACATATAAACATTTATTTATTTATTTATAAACGGGTAGGTAGTAAGTAGTAGGTACCCTTTAGAAATAATAGTACTCACTGTATAACCTTAATTTGGCAAATATAACAGTGAAATTAAATAATATAATGTTTCTAATAAGTTAATATTTTTAAAACTAATGTTCGCGTTTATGAATCATAATAACATCTTAAATGATTTTTTCTAAAGTATTAATATGTAATATATTACAATAATTATCAATTTTATAATTATAAGTATATGAATAAATAACATTATGTAGAAGAGAAAAAGTAATAATACTACAATTGTATGTATTTAGTGGGAGGTAATTTTGATGATTACAAGTAACGAATTTGTCTAGATTTTACTGTAAAATTAAAGTATCAGTTGGGTATTTTTAATAGTCAAAAGATTTAATATTTATTAATTATAATATAATTTTAATGTTTGATCGATGTATTTCATGAAGTGGAAAGTGGAAACGGTAAATAATTTACTGTGTGTCCACAAAAACACTTACACAGTAATATAACATACAAATATTTTAAATATAAAAAAAGAAAAATTATACTCTCAGCAGCAAAAAATTGAAGTGAATTGCCCTCTATAACATTTAAAGGTAAAATCTTATCTAGGTAATATCATAGGATTTTTATTATATTTTAATTTTAAAGCGACTTATAAGTATTTTAAAATATAAAATTATGTATAAGTATTTGTTTTGGGGATTTTTTTCCGATCACCTTACGTAAGGTACCTACTTACCGTACCCATACCGATCACTTACGACACATATCTCAATTATGTTTATGTGGGTAACTAAGTAATCCGCAAGCCATGCCTGTAGGCTGTATGTAAGACAGTGATTGAGTACCTATGGCCTGTATTATAGGTACCTTCTTACAACCAAAACATTTATGTTCGTTTGTAATATATATATATATGATGTACATATTTGATAGGTCGGCTGGTCGCGATAATAGACTGTTGGATCGATGGGTAGATCTTATCTGTATGACTGTATTCTTTACTAAAAGCCGCACCCATCTCGTTAAGTTAATGGTAAAATATGATGTTCAAATATTGGAACACTAATGAGTAATGTTTAATGACTAACTATCAATCAATAATTGATTAAAGATAAATAATTATCAATAAACGATAAATATTATTTACGAATATTTGGTAGATAACATAATATAATGATATAATATTCATATATTTTAAAATGAAATATTAACAACATTTATTAGGTATATTTAACAACAATATTGTAACTTAGAAAATGTTCCTTATTGGTTCCTAATTGGTTAAACGATAAAAACTGATAAGTTACCAAAATATCTTCAAAAACGGTTGAAATAGCCAGAAACCTTTGTATTTGAAATAAACGTTAACGATAGTAGACACATAATATAATAATATGATTATATTAGCCACCATTTTAAAAACATTATTTTGTTGTTAGTTGTTAGGTTGTACGTTTATTTGAATTACGTGGTTTGTAATTATTAGGCAATCCGTGAGAACATCATAGGATAAAATATGTACCACAATACCAAGATCTTACCTACTAGTCATTGTAAATTAGACGGTACCAGAAATAAAAAATATGTGTTATTATACATTTGGGTTTTATTAATGTAACCATAGAAACGATGACTGTGCATTCAATAATATACATCAATTGTATTTGTATAATCAGTAGCTTGGTAATAATTTATAACCATATTATGCGTTTGTATAATGTATACCAACCTACAATAATTTATTATACGTACAATGTAATTTATGGTATACTTATCATAATGTATGTACATGTTTATACAATTATTAATTACCGTCACGGTATACCATCGCAAGGTCGTTACCGTTATCTCACGTCCGCTGCGAGTTATACAACGATCGAATAATAACAATCCAATTAAAAATAAGCTCGCCCCCGCCCGTCCGTTTAATAGGTTGGCATCATTGGTGTACCGTTGTCAATGTATACATTATACAAGGCAGCGAGGAGGCCGTAACGGATGTAATAATAAATAATAATACAATATTGTTGGTTCGAGTGGGTGCGCGGAGCGGTGAAGTGGGATGTACGCCATGGTATGATAGATTATTTATACCAGCGCGTTATTTTTCTATACCGGTCTTGAACATTTAATTTCATGACCAAAAATGCGACGTTGCCACAGTTCCTCAAAGCCACGACATTAATATTATTATGTTAGTTGGTTCGTTGTGGTAGGGGGCTGAGTGGAAGCGAACCCACAACGTTGGCGTCGCTCAATTACCGGGAATCGGAGGCGGCGTCGTCGTAGTGGTATTCAAAGAAATAATAATTTATTATCGTTCCCGTGTTGGTACGGTGTTTGAAAAAACCTTGAACTATGCGAGCTCGGCGCGTCGGTAGCCTCTATCGAGGTACTAGTCAGTGGGGTCGCCGCCTAATGGATTTACGCGCAAACGAGCGACGGGCCGGTAACGTTGGATTCCGCCTCACCGCCAGCGCATGACCGTCGGCTGGGAAGTGGGTACGGGTCGCGGGAAGTACTATCTCGGTGCGTACCTCGCTTAGAGGCTATCCAGCCGCCGACTGGTTCCGTCTTTGTTCGGACGATTTCACTTGGCTCACGCACGCGCACCGTGTTCGAGTCACACACACCTGCACACCAACTCACTGGCACATATAAAATGCACGTAAACTCGCACACCGACGCACGCACACACGAGCGAACTCACGCACACGCGAACGGGCGCCTGGTATTATGTCGTTATGTTGGTGAGCTCCGCGACCCGCTGCCCGTCCACCGAACCCCCACCGAGCCAACGAGCTGGCAGACACCGTTCATATTCATTCGCCACTCGTCCGTCGACATTACAGGCCGTAGCTCGTTGTCCAACACGTTCCCGTCGTTATACGGTTCCCGTTGTTCCCGAATTGGCCACCGACAGCACTGCGTGACCCGTTCGGTGTAGTTCGTTGAATAATTATTAACATAATATTATAATTTAATATTTATACAGCTGTCGCCGTTGCTGGTTTTTTTTTTTGATTTTTTCAAATGCCATTACCACGGCGTTGTATTATTTTTGTCGAATAACGTAATTTATCGTCCCCCTCCCTTCCTACGCTCGACGAACACATCAATAATGGCATCTGTAATCAGCGTACCAGCCAACGAAGGTAACTATATTTAAATCAATGGTTATAACGATATAACGTAACGTAATTTGGTTTTAATTTTTTTTTATTCGGTTTGACAAGATTGTAAGCGATATCGGCCTCGGTTTAGTTATCTTGATTAATATTGATTATTATTTATTCGATATTGTTGTTGTTATTATTATCGTTATTACCATGTGTCGGGGATTGCCCACACGCCTAATACTATAAATATATTATTAATTTATATTGTTATTAATAATAGGATGGTAGTGTCTCATTTGTTTTTTTTGGTTAACCTCAAACGTGTTTTACATTTGAAACATCAAGATATTAGCGTTTACTCAGATCGGTTGGAGATATTATTTTTATTTTATTCTAGGTAGTACCTGTTTTATAGAAACAAGGAATTTCTTCGATGAATTAGTTAACATTTTAGCTGGTTAAAATAATTTGTTTTAGGTATATTGTATTTGTGTATAAATCCATTAGGTAATGTATAATATTATGCCTATGATCAATTTAATTTAAAAACCAAATGAAAGTTTTTAAAACCTAAAAATAAGCACAACGATTCATATGTTAATAGTTTATTAGGTACGTCTTTTTAACGTGGCGTTAAATCCTCTTTTTATATGAAGCACTATTATTGTGAAGACCAAAAGTAATCATTATAATAATTGTTACATTATATGCTTTTCTTACGTTCCAAATTCCAGGTTAAGGTCTGATTGTACTATCGACTTTAATTGTCATATTATTATTTGTTGCTAAGACGATTATTGATCATGGTCTATAACAAGAACGCATCTCCGTGATTTCCTGGTTTTATAAACGATTGTAAAACGAGATCTTATAAATAATAATATAAAATAATTGGCCCTCATGCGTGTTAGAAGATTTCCGTCATCCTTACCAATGTAGTACACTCGTAGTAGTGGCGGCGGCGGTCAGCGTTGTGTGCGTGTGTGTGTGTGTTTGTTTGGTCGCTCGTGAGCGCGCGCGCGCGCGCGTGTGTGTGTGCGCCGCTCGCTTTTACATACACGAAACATCGATAGGTACATTCAGGAACGTGAAAAATGGTATAGTTGAAACTAGTCGAGAAGATTCCCAAGAGCTTGTTTCCACGCAAACAAATATTGTTCTTAATTTATCAACTAATATTTTTTAATTGAAACAATTTCATAAATCAGTACTTTATCTTTATTCCAGGGATCGAAACCGTTTCATATTTTAACGGTTTCGGTTTCGATTTTTGAGAACAGTATTCTACATTTTCTGGTTTTGGTTTAGGTTTTAAGATCGGTTTTTCAAATTTTTTGGTTTTGGTTTCGGTTTCAAAAAAGGTTTTTAAAAAAATGTATCGGTTTCAAGAACGGTTTTTGAAAATGTTTGGTTTTGGTTTTTGCAACGGTTTTAAATTTTTTTATATTTTCCTACATCTAAAAACCGTGACCCAATTTGTATTATCTATTAAATATATTAAGGGCTGAGCCTAAAGCCCTAAAAATTAAAATATATCCGATTTGTACACTTTATGTAGAATGTGCATACAATATGCCAAGTTATGTTCAGCAGAACTAATTTCGTGTTCTCAACAACGTAGGTAGTAGGTACCTACCTGCTTTTGCATACAACATAATATAGAGATCATTATTCGATTACATTACATTAATAAATATTTAATTGTAATTTACAATAATATTGCATCATATTAAAGACTACAGTATAATAAATCTCATGATATGTTATGTTAAATCTCATCTCATGTTATGCTTATGATATTTGAACAAAATAATAAATTTAAATTTAAATGGATAGTTACTAAAAAAGGTTTTTTTAGTATTGACAATTCTATTATTTAAAAAGGTATAAATACACGTTAAACACACATTTTTAATTCAAGAGACACACTATTTCAGGCCAAGAGATTGTTAGAAATTTACATATTTCTATTTTTTAATAACATTTGTCGTTTTCATTACCAATACTCAATAGGCAATAAATAATAACATTACAATTAATATATCATTATTTAAGTACCTGTGTGGCTGTGTTGTAAGAGTTAGAACACAGTAGGAAATGGGAATACATTTCCATAAACATAATATAGGTACCATTATATTCTGAAGTATCTTCTTTATTTGTGACATTATTTCTTTTGTCTAATTTTCATAAAAAAATGTGCAACTAAATAATGCAAAATTGAAACTTAAAATAATCAAATGTTAATTAGGTATAGCTTGCTTATAATGGTCTCTTGCAATGTATAAATTTAGAAGTTGAACTTCAGAACGACTGCAGGACGGACGCGGTTCGGCGAAATACGAAACAATAATTATTGTAACAACTAATAAGTACTATAAATATATAATAACTAATATATCATAATTTACACATATACTTCAAATAACAACAATACAGATTAGTGATTATGGTCATGTATAACCGCATAGGGGCGGACAAAATAATAATAGTTATATTTTAATTTAGAACCAATACAATAAGTATAGTAATAACATAAAATATAAATAGAACAATATTCGTATTACCAATAGATATTAATATATCGTAATACTGATTAGTGATTACCTAAGAGCATCGGGATTTTTATTAATTAATTCGAACATTATATTATTTTCTTCGTATGAAAATACTCGTTTTAACTAGAATTATAAATAATATAATTAACTTTATAAAATTTGAAGAAACCGATATTGATTTTAAATTTTAATCGGGTTTTCAAGAACTGATCAAGAACGGTTTTTCAATTCTATGGTTTCGGTTTGGGTTTTTTTAACGGTTTTTTAAAGGCCTCGGGTTTCAGTTATGGTTTTTTAACCGGTGTTTTAAAGCTTTTGGTGTCGGTTCCGGTGTTCTATAATGAATAAACCGCGGTTCTAACCGGGTTTAACCGGTTTTTCAAAAACCGGTTTCGATCCCTGCAGTTTATTCCAATAAAAACATTCAAATGTCGTCTTGGGTAAAATTACAAGGCATTGTTCTGATGGACGTGGCTCATTTTTTTTGTATGGAACTATGGTACATTGTATTTATTTCGTGTATTTCAATAATATTATCGTTATTTTTGCGTTTTTAAGAGTTTAATGGTACCCTTTTCACAATTTATTTTTGCCTTGTATATACCTAATAAAAATATATAAAGAATATAATAAATATTTTGTCACGAGGTCAATAGGGAACAATTATTGTATTGTCCGGTGTATCCAATTCTTTTCAAAATGGATTCCGTTTCTCTAAAACGTTTGGTTTTAACCGTTCCACAAAAAAAAAAACGTTTGAATAGGTACGTTGCACACCCCTTTGCCGCAACGGGCGAGACCGTTTTCGACCAAAAACGTACCCTTCCCTTTTCGGCCGATTCACTTTTCGACCAAAACAATAAGTTTTGTAATATGATATGTAAAATAAATAAAATAATTGGTATATAATTTTTGTAAAATTATGGCAATTATAATTTTAAAAATTATTTAAGTATAAGTTGCATAAAATGTTGTAAAATAAAAAATAAAAAAAAATTTAAATATAAGAATACCTATAATATATTATTAACATTAGTTTTGTGTTAATATGTCACACTGTGCATAATATTTTATAAAAAGAATAACATAATAATACCTATACAATTTTTGTCAATAATTATTAAGTCTAATAGTAATGTGTATAATAATATAAATAATGGCAAATATTATTAAAAATATAAGATATATTATATAAAAAAAAATGATATAAGGTTAATATAATTGTGTCGTCTGAGTTTTGTTAGCGCTTTTCATTACATTTGTTTGAAATAATTGTTTGAAACCAACTTAACAAAATGATACCTAAAAATATTTTAGTGATATATTTTACTATTAAGTAATAAAAACGCCTAGCTATTTTAATAAATTATATACTGTAGGTACCTGTCAAGTTACCTGTATTTTACAACATTTTATGCAACTTATACTTTAAATAATTTTTAAAATTATAATTGCCATAATTTTACAAAAATTATATACCAATTATTTTATTTATTTTACATATCATATTACAAAACTTTTTGTTTTGGTCGAAAAGTGAATCGGTCGAAAAGGGAATGGACCTTTTTTAAATTTGGTCGAAAAGGGAAGGGTACGTTTTTGGTCGAAAACTGCTATGCCCGCCGCAACGCATCTCACGAGTGACCACCTTGAACTTGGATAAAATTAAGTAACACGTTCTGAGAAACTGCCATAAAGGCGTGATTGTTGTTGATTTGGTCAGATCGTTTTCTCGACAAATTATTATTAGTAAGCCCTCAATTCTCAAATACTCAAGGGATTATAAAAAATCCGAAAATAACGTAGCTGACAAATATTTAGACCCAATAATATTAACGTCACTCAAAATAATATTCATAATATATTTTAATATTAATGGATTTTTATGGATGTTATTAACTTATTAAATTTGTTTATTGAACTATTCATATCATATATGATTGTAATTAATTATAGAGTCAATCTTGACTTATCGTAGAAGTAAAACAATGGAAAGAGATCCATCACATAAATAGACAATAACTTATTTTAATCTAAATATTTTGAAAATATCCTCACTATTATTATAGTGGTATATAAGTATAATTTAATATTATCTGTAGTTATCAATACCTAGTCATTCTAGTAATATTGTGCCGTGAATATTGTGATGTTCAAGTTATCTTACTAATAAATCAAGTACTTGAATACAGTGTCGGCCTGGTACCTAAAAGGCCCCGGATGCATTTCTTCAGAAGGGCCCCCAAAAATGTTTTTTCATAAAATTATTAAAAATGTACTTATAAGTAGGTAGTGTAAAATATTATAATTTTTTAAAGGTACCATATATAAAATTAACCATCCATTAAGTTAAGATTTAAGTTAGATTAATAATTTATTATTCTAAACAATTTTTTACATATTACATAATATAAATAATACCTTCTCACATTATACAACTTAATATTTTTTTAATGTGATTCAAATTCAAAATTAATTGTGCATTTGGTTTTCTTTATATCAGTAATTTTTTTAGTTCACTAGATGAGTTAGCAATCGTACCTATCAATCAACTCATCTGAGTCAATCAAAATATCCTTTTCAATGGACATTAGCATTAATGGATTAAGATGTTCTTGGGGTAAAGAAGACCGAAGTTTAGTTTTGATTATTTTCAGCTTTGAAAATACTCTTTCACAGGTAGTCTGTGTTGATGGTAATAGCAACACAAATTTATATAATGTGAACAAATTACAAAATAAATTAGATTGACATGACAGCTCTTGGAGCAAAATCAATGCAAAGTGAAGACATTTAGTGCATTTGTCACAATTAATTTGTTCGGTGGGTTTAACTTCAATATCTTCATCTTCATCAATATATATAATTTTAGAAGATTTAGATTTAATATCGTGAAAATCATTTTCAGATACATCTGGTATGAAATTACTATACTGACAAGCAAACTGTTTTAGCTCAATTGCAATGATCTCTTTGTCTAAATCTGCTAGTTTAGGTACATATTGTGTTCAACGAGTCCTTGGCAAATTGTTCAAGTTCATTAATAAAAGCAAATGTTTTAGGATCCAGCCAATTTAAATCTTTTAATAACATTTCATTAGGTACAAATCGTGATTTTATGCTATTAAGAAGTATCTATAATAGAATAAGCATTTGACTTAAATTTTGTGTAAGGTGTTATAATTCTAACTTCATCTGAACACTTATTTATATTTCTGAGTACGGTCGGGGGCGGGGGCCCCCGAACTCAAATACGGCCGAGGGCCCCGGACGCGTTTGCGGCCTAGCGGCCATGGCCAGGCCGACACTGCTTGAATATAATACCAGTAATTATTTACTGCAACATCGAGCATTTTGGCAACTGTCTCAGTCGTGTTGCCGTTTGCTATTTTATCGAATTTCGTTCAAATTCTTACTTAAAACGCTATTATAAAATAGATGTTAGATAATAGATTCATACCTAAATTTTTTTTTTCAATTCAAATTTCCATTGTAAACAACATCCGAAACGTTCAATTGAATTTTCAATCTCTTTTGTTGGATAAATGTTAGCATAGATAAAATCTTTTTATTGATAAATATATAAAAAAATAAATGTAAAATGTCCCTAAATAGCTCGGAGAGTCTAAATTTATTGAAAATTATACCATTGCAGGTACTTATAGTAAATACCTAACTAGGAAAATACTAATATTATAAATTATTGTAATTTGGTGAATATTATCTGTTTTGAATTGTGTAACTACGTAACAAAATCAATCTGGTTGAAAACTGGTGGATTTACCTAAAGAATTCTCGTTTTCCCTCTATTATATAATTTTTTTTCTGATAATTGAAAGTTAGGGAACATTCTTTACTTTTGACCCAACTATTTTTATTAAAAAAAACATTATTGTAAAAAATTGTATGCATTGCTCCGCCAAGAATCTGAAACTATGTTTGTGAAGACTTAGACGTTTTACTAGATTTTGATATTATGTTCGTCCGAATATTATGCACGCCAAATAAACTGTAATAGTGGTTTTCTACATTTAAATTTGTTTTTGTTTGTTCCATCATTGTATCAATTAAAGGTATAAATCCATATTGTGTTATGTATAATTATATAATAATATCTAAGTTTGCACTGATATACTTTATATAGTGGTAATTCGTATCTATATCCGATGTTTATCTTGTAACTGTATACATTGAATCTTCATCTGTAAAATGTAAATAGGTAGAACAAACAATACACTTCCACTTTAATATAAATAAAGGGTTAAGTGGTTAATAATAAATATCAAGCAAGTAGGTATCTATATTTTTATTTTTGTTTGATACTGTAACACTAAACATAATTGTATACTTACATAATATTAAATTAGTTATTGCATTATGTGTATACAATATTAATCAATGTTTTTTTAAAAAATTTTTTTCAACTATTTACGTATATATATATTACATTTATTTTTATAGTAGGTTTCTAAAGTATGCTTTAAAAAACAGTAATGTAGGCCTATGTGCAAGTTATATATTTTATCTAGTTTGTATTTGAGAGTGTGAAGAACAATAACCATCACTACCTTTTTATTCTAACCATAAATTACAAGTTATGACTAAAACTCGGATTTATATGCATTAAAAATTTTCAAAATACGCCATATAATATGCAGTCAAAATTGTGAACATAATGTGCAACAAATATAAATTTTAAATTTGTGTAATATGGTAAAGATTCACAATTTAATAGTTGCTTATAAATATATTCCTCAAAAATAATTTAAAACAAATTAAATAACTTATAATATAATAATTAATAATTATAGGTATTATTATTACTATTTATTATCTACCTACTTAATAAACAAAAAAATTTGTAATTTATAATTTAATATTATTAAAATGAATAATCACTTAGAGCCTACAAAATATATTATTACAATTTTATGATTGACAGAATATTCTAATTCTAATTCTTTTTTTATTAATTTTCGGTTTAATATGCAATATATTTTGAATTTTATCAAAATATCTAGAAATATGCAATAACCATAATAGGCAGTAATATGCAAAAAAAAAATCCCCATTAGCTTCAAACTATTAGAATTCATAAGATTACTGACAAAAATCCAAAAAATGTGAAAAGGACAAAAATTGCAATTTCATATAATTCCGCGCTCTAGTTATAACTTATAATCTCAAAACAAATAGCTAGTTAAAAAATAAATATTCATATGTATATTCTGTTCTCAATTTTTTTTGAGTAACTAAAATATAAGATACCTAACGGTTTTTTTTTTTTTACTTTGCTAGTGAAAGCAACTTGAGATAAAGTAGTCCATAGGACTTGTTTTGATTATCAAATTTTTTTTTAACTTCATCACAGCTTTATTGCACTCATAAAGTAAATAATACAGTTTTTAGCTTGCCCATTATTTTCTTTTACTTTCTCTTTGAGTGTCCTAAATTTCAGGTAATAATGATTGTGGCATTCTATTTTACCATCCTATCATCGTTTATATCTATATTATAAAATATCAGTATTCTATGTACATGTTTATCATAAATCATAATACTGGAATATTTTATATTTACTACTATTGATAAATCACCATGGTTACGAGATATAATATTGTTCATGTACATGTATAATAATTTTGGTCTCTTTGTTACATAAATTCATTATGATAATTTTTAAATAATATTTGGACATAATATTATTTATTCATTTTTAGTAGGGATGGATTTAAGCAAAAGTATATTATATATAAAAAAAAAAGAAAAAATGTTCTTGTAATTTTAATTATTCAAAATGTTTACATTTAAATTTCATAAATTATTTTCCAATAAATATTTATTTTTTATTATTCATAGTACCTACCTATAATTTAATTAATTTATTAAAACTTAATTTTATAATTAAATTACAGGGATAAGTGTAAAAAATGAACACGATGATCCTGAAATAAATGCAATGGCTCTCAAAATGAAAGAAAATTATCAAAAAAATGCATCAGCTGCAGCAAAGCAACAGGCTGCTTCTCCGGCAAATGTTTATATAAACAGAGCCGGTAGACCAGTAGCATTGACTAATGCACCAATTACAACGAATAACACTCAAAAAAATCCAGATAAATCACCCAAAGATTCTGAAGATGTAGAAAGTATTAAAGGTAAGCAATCAGGAATTAAATCCGTGTTTTGAAACTTTTTATGAAAACACTATATTTTATGTTCTTTTATGCAATATAGGTAGATTTTCATGGAAATTCATTGCTGGACACCATATACCCTATATAATTAGAGTAGTTAATACTGAACAATTAAAGTTTGTATCTGTTCGTATGGCTGAAACACAGCTACTCAGCAATTATTTACATTATCTACATGCAGATATATACACATGTACATCTGTTAGAAGTCACTTCATCACCGAGTCGGAAGCTAAACTTTTAAACGACATCAACCAAAAGCATGCCGACTGTATTTACGGGAAAGAAGTGTTTTTTGCAGGAAAAGATTATATTGTGCGCTTGGAAGATGTCCATGAATTTTATATGTTCATAGAAGTATGTTATAAAAAATTACTGTGCAATGTTACTCCAGGCCGCAGAGAGAAATGTGGTTTTATTCGTATTAACTCTGAATCTGTTGTGCCATATTGTATAAAAGATGACCAAAAATATGTCCCGCTCTTCTACTTTGAAGGCGAAACAGAAAACTTAAAACATCGAGCTGTGAAATTGGAAAATTGGAACTTAGCATACCTCAAGTTCTGCTGTAAAGTTCAAGGTATCAGAAATGAGTTGTTTGCTAGTGACTCTTGCACGGTCACTAGTCTTGATGACATAAAAAATTATTTTCCACCGGAAACTAATTTTGAGGAATATTGGCCAGCTAAGGTTGTTGATACACAACTCCTAACTAATCAGAAGTCTACCCATGTAAACCCCCCTGGTGCCTGGATCAGAGCACCCCCAGAAGTAGTACCTGCTGAAAATACTATTCCTCATAATTTAACAGCACCAGGACCATTACCAGCAAGTGTGCCAATTTTGATGAACACATATCAAAACGGATGGCCAGCAAACCAAATGGTATGAACTATGTTATATATTATATAAATATATAAATTAAATTGCTTTTTTATTTTTGGTTCTTCAAATAAATTGTGGCTTGTGTTTTTACAATGTATTCAAATGTATCATTTATTTAATGCTTATAATTATTTTTAATATTAACTATTAAATATTAATAAATAATGTATCTATAAATAAAAAGGTCAATTAATAGTTATATATTTTGTACCTAACAAAGTTATATAAATATGGGGAAAATGGTTTAAAGGCTTTTATTTTTTTACATTCAATTTTGCTTTCATTTGTTTTATTTAATTATACTTCACAGTAGTGGAGTGTTCGGGTCGTGCATGCTCTTTTTTAATAAAAAATTTTTTTCTCTACAATCAGCCTGTATTCTCAATAAATAAATAATATTTTTGTAGGTTAATTCATATGGCACTCAGGCTCAGCCGCCATCAACTCGTGGCTATTCTATTGCAGCCAGAAATCAAAGCATAGCTGCCCAGTGCTATAATGCGGTACTTATTTTTCAACTTTCTTAATTTTTTTCTCCAATTATTATTCCTCACCCCTTATATAGAAATACTCAACCAATTATATGTAGTTCAAAGCTCACACTCTAAACTATTTTTGGTTTTATAATTTTGTCTCCATTAAAGAAATAACCTTCTTGTATTTTTATTTAATACAAATAATTATTATAAACTAATGGATTAATTATTGTCATTCCTCAGTTGGTAATTCAAACTAACAATTTTTTTTTATACACGTTTTTGTTGACTAAAAGTAATGTTGATATATTAATAAATAATAATTATCAAATAATATATAGCTTTTCTTTTTTCGATTGTTTTAAAATTACGAGTCCAGCTGTATGTTGGATCATTTTATAATTTAATATATTTTGATTCTTCATTAAAGTTAATTTAAAATTTAATAAAAGTATTGACTACAAGTTTTGCATGTATGATATAATAGTTAATTGTTTGAATTCATGGTGGGTATTAAAATTACATTGTGGGCTAGTAACATATATTAGTAAATTAACAGTTTTTTATGTTAAGTTTTTATTGGATTTTCAGGGTTCAACGATGTCTCAAGGCAGCAGTTTGGTAAACAGTGTGGGCCATGTTGTACCACCACCGCCTTTAGTCCGTGCAGGCAATACGACACCAGTAATTGGGTAAGTGTTATCAAAATAATACAAATAATCAAATTTGTAAATATCTAAAAACAGAAAAAAAAATGATTTATGCTTATAGTAACACCGTCTCATACTCCAGTGTTGTACCTATTAGCCAATGTATAACAACAATGTACAATCCAATGACAAATGGAAATGTTATGTCTCATTCAAGTCAAATGAGACAATTCTACAATCAACGTGCTAACAATAATCAAGCTCAACAACAACAGTTGCAGCAACAACAAATGCAACAGCAACAACAAATTACCACTCCTCAAACTCAGCAGCCATATAATGGCCAATCTTTGCATGGTCGTTTAACCAACACACAACAACGCAACGCTCTAAGGAATGCTGGGCCTGCTGTAATTGCTCCGCCCTTAGAAATTATTGATTTATCGTCCCCACCATCCAGCCCTGTTCCTCCAGCTGTGCAGGAAAATCCTCTTCGCCCTAATATTGGATGGGAATTGACGAGAATACCTGAACGGATGTGGGCACATGACACATCTAATAATGCTGCTTACAAGGTTAATGATATTTAATATTTTAAGATTGACCGAATTTATTGGGGCCTAGAATAAAATAATACTATTTTTCATACCTCTATAAGATATAAAATCTTGATGCCTCTATACCCTTTTAATTTTTTTAAACAAAGTATATATTTATTTACAAAAATAGCATGCTCATCACTTCAGCCAATTTTGTATAACATAGATTTAATAAACAAAAGATAGATACTATGGGTTAATCTTTAAATTAATAATATTTTAATTTTATTGACTGTTTTACATAAATGTTTTGTATTTAAATGTAACTTTCCATATTAATAGATTTTAATTTGTGTAGTTTTTCTGTTAACTTAATGTGTGTACAGTATTAAATATTGGTAATAAAGTTATTTTTTCTTTAACTTAATATTTGTGGAATATTTTTTAACTTCTTACAATTGTTTAAACATTTATTATTTGATCAATTGCGATATAGCAATAAGTTGTAGCCTGTATATTACTAAATTAAATTCAGAGTAATATTAATACCAAAAAATACTATTTCGATTTATTTGCTATATAGAATACCAAACATTTGTTTTTAAAATTATTTTAATACTTGTAATACGTCCGCCAGTTTTTATTTCAAAAATAAATAATTTATATATATATATATTTAACACAGATCCAAAAGGCAACACTGCAAGGACGAATGATCCATTGCATAAATGCAAAACCATACATCTATTCGGATTTGATGGTAACATTGGATGATTTAGTGCAGATGGTGCTGCCTTCCATTACAGTCCCGAGATGCGCTTACATCTTAAACAAATACTTAAAAACGACACTATTCAGTGGAAATACGTAAGTGTCTGCTCCTCATTTTAATAATCATTATCCCTCCTACTATTCATCCAACAGTGTTCGGAAGATGTTAATAAATTTTACCCGTCGTTTGTTTGACAGCGAGCAGTTGGCCGTGTTGAGGGAAAATGGGCGCCTCAGGTCGATGTTCCCGGATGATACACCCATGGCCATGCTACAAGATATCACGCATGTTCTGCCGCAATTAAAGGCATTGGTGTTAAAGCATGATGAACAAATACAACAATACCAAGCAGCTGCTGCAGGCGGTCCAGCCAAAAGACAACGCACCAGCTAGGAATGGGCCGGGCACGGTGGAAGCCGACCCGACTGGCAAAAGCTGGTGGCGGGCAGCAGCAGCAATAGTAACAGCAGCAGCAATAGCAGTGGTGCCACTTCCACCCTCGCCGCCCCCACCGGTTGGTACTCGCCGACCGCGGCCGACAGCAACGATTGGCTTAACGCCGGAGCTGGTCCGTCCCAATCGCCGCACTCGCATCACCCACCGCACCCACTGATGCAAAATAGCTACCAGAGCCGAAGCAACTGGCCTCCGCCCCCGCCCTACATGTAAGAACTACCACCGCAACTAAGCAGCATATATAATCAGCGTGTCTATGGAATGTCCACTGGTCGTCGTTCCCCATCATCTCTTATCGTTTTTTGTTCTCGTTATTCGCGTTTTCTTTCGTTGTTGTCTGTAATACATTTCAGCGTATTATTATTATTTATTATTAACTGAATACCTGGCCAATTAAGATTATGTTTTGACTAGATGGACGACGAGGTTCTAATTCTGAATACCAATATATTATATTATTATGCTTGGGTGTCTTGTTCCTATAAATAGTATGTGTACATAGTACATATGTATGTACAAACAACAATTATATTTATCTACACGATTCCGTGTCGTGTATATATTATAATTTACTATTACAATAATGTTATATATTTTAAATGTTATGATCATTTTGGATCTTTGTCATTTTCCATTATTTCATATATCTTTGCATTTATTCGAAGTATTAATATGAATATTAGTTTTAAAGGATATACTGAAAAGTGAACACTTGTAAAATAGTTTATTGATGTATTGTTTATATTTAACTTTTGTATTGACCAATAAAAATTGGAACTTATATTATTTTAATTAATGTTGTTTTATTTCCTATTAAAAAAAAGTAGAAATCTCCTGGTGTCGTATTACAGTTTGTGTAAACTGTAACAGTACCTATCTTAATAATATGATATCAACAAAATTTAAAAAAAGGTGCTCTGCGGTACAGTAGGTTACAAGTAGGTTACAATAGGTCACTGTATAATGGATGGTATTAAATTAGAATTCAATGATATTATATCATTGTATAAGAAAAACGACTGAGCGGGGACTGTATGTCTAGGTATAAGACATATTATATACTAATCTATGGTATTAAAAAAAATTTACCTATAATAAATTTCAAATTAATCATATCACGATATCCATTAGGTACTTATAACGCGTTATACATTAACAACAAAAACTGATACTATCATAGATATATAATAGTGTACTTTAGAAGTTTCAAGTACCCACGAATAATATTATACAATCACAACAAAATAAGTAAAATAGTTATTCTAGGTTTTTTACTATGTAATTTCATACAAATTTGAATTTAAAATGACTATAAAAATAAACTGTGCTTATGTATTTTTAGATTTTTTGGTAACAGAATTACCTACTTACGTGGAATTTTGTTTTACATTTTCAATCCTTAGACATAAAAGTTGAACATTTTATAAATTTTTAACTAAAATATAATTATTCAATTTTAAATTAGATAAATTTTGTCAAAATTCGATTTTTAAATCCCTATAAAAAAAATTGTGCTTATGTATTTTTAATATTTTTCAATTGCTATTGTAACAATATGTCAGGAGCCTTGTATTAAATTTTTACAATTTTTGGCCCAACAGATAAAACTTTATTGATATTTATAGAAAAAAAACTAAAATATTAAAAACTGAAAATGTCCGTAAACAGCTCAAAAAGAGTCAAAATATTTTCTAAAGTGTATGGTGTATAGGAAATGCTAATATAAACATTCAGTGAAATTTTCATGTGTCTACAGTTATTCGTTTTTGAATTACAACAAAATAAGGAAATCGCTATATGAGAAATCGGGCTCATAAAAATTTAATTTTACTTTCTTATACACATATTTTGTTTGATAACGAATCTTAGATTTAAAAAGCAAAATGTTTACGAATTCTTAACTCAAAATAATTTGGTAAATTTCGTAATTTTTCCATATTTTGTCAATTTTTGGACTTCAAATGCTTATAAAAAAAACCTGTGGGTAAGGATTTTTAATATTTTTCATCTACCTTTGAAACAATATACTTGAAGCCCTCTATTAAATTTTCAAGCTTTTAACCAACCAATAAAATTTCGATATTTATAGAATAAAAAACTAAAAAAATTTGAAACTGAAAATGTTCCTAAACAGCTCAAAATAAATCAAAATATTTTAATAAAGGCATGGTGTATAGAAAATGCTAATATTAAACAGTCAAATTTGTTCAACGGTCATTTGTTTTTTACACCAAAAACCAAAATCGATTTTCTCGAAAACAGATTTTGCGTAAAAATTCCCGTTTTTCCTTAATTTTTCTTTTGTTTTTCACGTCGCTTTTGAAAACTCCTGGGAAATTTTTACTTTTGACCCTCAAAGTACCAACTAGATTCACTTTCCTATCAGAAAAGAATAAAAGATACTGTTGAAGAAAATCCAAACACTTTTACTGCCCTAAAAGGTGACGACCGACACAAATGAAAATTTAAAAAAAAAAACACACATCATTGTAAAATCATTGCATTCATCGTTCCACTCGGAATCTAAAAAACATAAAATAATATTATATCATTAAATTGGGCATAAAATTAATTCTGGAACACATTATTATTGGATCTAACGCGAATAAATGCTCAAAACCGCGTGTCTCAAGTGCAGTACAAAAGCACGATGGCGATTGCATATTTGCAGGCATCAAATATATAAATAGTTAAAACGTATAGGTAATAAATTAAAACTATAGACTTCTGAAGGAGAATATTTAAGAAAGTTAAGGTTGCGGTCACTAGTCATTGGCTCTTGGCGGGCCCTGATTAACGGGTAAGCAATGTAGGCTTCGAGACCTACACGACCACGGGGCACGGGGCACGGTCAACGCATATTATCCTGATGTTATTTTTATTTAAGTATCGGAAATTTGAAACAGTAGTGAATAATAATTAATGCGTTTTTCGTGCGGTTTTTCAAACCGAGTTTTATTTTTAGATTGTTATTTTTCCGTAGAACCGGTCGCACACCGATTACGTGTGCGCTCTTCATATTCGTCGTAGCTCACCGCCGATGTATTAGCACAGAACAAACAGAAGGGAATCATATTTAATTTTTTTATAATATGGTTATTTTATATTTTTATGTATCTAAAATATATTTTGTGTGGTTTTATGTTTTTACTTGTTTGCACATATTATATACGTGTACATATTGATGTGGCTAATAAAAATAAAATAATATTTTATTATTTATTCAAGTATCGAGTAGAGAAATGTGTACAATATTTTTTTTAAATAATGGCACCAAATTTTTTGCAGCCTATGGTTACTGTAGATCTTATCCGGGCCTGGTCTTTGGACGTTAAATGTAACGTCTGTAAATTTTCATGTATCAGACGTGTGTGACGTCAAAGGGACAGTCAATTTGACGGTCTTCGAGGGAGGTTGTGAGTGTGTGACCTTCGACTATAATAATTAGTAAATCGTGAAATTCGGTTATCGGTTTAAATAGCAAAAAGTAAATGATTCTACTCGATATATTATTATTAAACTTGCAGCACATCATCTATATAATACAATATATAAATGGCAAATACCACTCGCTCACTAACTGATCGATAAAACTCAAAAACTACAAAACGTACACATTCGGAATAGTTCCTCTAATGATCTAGATGTGTTTAAACTATTTTCAATTTATTCAAATTATTATTTTAATAGTTTGTATTACCTACTAAAGACATTTATTATTCAAGAAGATAAAAAAAATCAGAAACTTACCTGTTTGGCTGCATGGAAATCAATACAAACTGTTAAAATTCAAATTAATGAAATAAAATACGTATAATACTAGGTTAATAATATTATCATTGATAACTAATAATCCATGCAATTTATAAATAACTACATTATAAACAGAAACATTCGGAGCCTAACCTAACCGTGTATCCGCATACCGCTTTTTCTTGTCTATAGTAGTATAGTGTTCACTATAGAATTCTAAATAAAAATTATTTGTTTTTCAACGAATATACGAAGGGTGTTGACCAGTTGCCCCCCACGGCTGTTATCGGGATTTTTAAAATATACCAGTTGCCCTCAACAAAATGTACCAGTTGCCCCCAACTGAATGTACCAGTTGCCCTTACATGTTAATATATACACGATTACAATATATAGCCTGTAAAATAGGGGAGGTAAATATACAAAAAATAATTAAAATTATTTATAAAAATAATGTAAAATAGTATAAAATGATAGAATCAAATTTTGATATTTGCAATTATATATACCTACTTAATAATAATAATATAATAAAAAATCCAATGAAATAATAAATATTATAATTATGTGGCATTCGATGTTATAATTTGACAACAAAAAAACTTTATAAAATGACAGAAAAAATATTCATTGTAAATAATATAGTTATAATGATAATAGTGGCATATTCAATGTGATCATTTGTATAAAATTATAGAAAAAATTCATGTTTATAATAATTACTAGGTAACAAAATAGTATAAAAAAGTCAATAAAATAATAAACATGACAGAAAAGTCATCCACAGCTTTCCGTTTTAAATTATTAGAAATGGTTACTTTTGTTAAATTTTGGCGAATGTTTGTATTCGATAACCGATTTTAAAAGCACCGTTTCATCTTCACTCACAAACAGCTAGCTTTGACGTACACGACTTTAATGTACATCTGCCATTTCACACCACCTTGTGTAATGTGATCTTTATAAAAAGTATAATTATTTAAAAGTAACAAAACATTGCCCTTTTCACTATACACTCGCTTAATATTTTCCATCGTGTTAACAACGTCAGTGCTTTTCGTCTACTAAAATGTATCTATCAAAGACGTAGATATACATCGTATCATATAATAATTTCTAACAGCAATAAAACTACTAATAAAGATAGGTTTAATAAATGATAATAACTAGCGTATTCCGATAAA